TTGTGATTATTTGACAGGAGTTTTACTTTTAAACTGTAAGTGTATTTAATTTAGTTATGTTAGTTATGATAGTTTAGTTAAGATATAAATACAACAAAAATTAAACCAAGATTTAGAATAATTATCATTTTGATCCATACATTGGTAATGTGTGACTGGGCCTCGTGCCACTTTATGTTCAACAAATTGGGGCCCGAGGTCAAAAAGGTTAAGAACCCCTGCTTTAAATGATCACCAGGTTGACATATGTTTTGGTCCCTAAAACGGGAGATGAGAGGAAGGTCATTTTGTGGACAATATGTATTAATTTTCCCTCCATGTGGCTTTTAAGGTGTGGGCACTGCAAAGGCCAGCAGCCCTGTAAGGTGACAGAGGGACGCTGTATCACCTGCGACAGAGGCTGGAACGGGACACGGTGCGACCAGCTTTGTTCCAAGGGCTTCTTTGGTGAAAACTGCCAGGAAGTTTGTCCCGCCTGCAAAGATGGTCACCACTGTGACCCCATTCATGGCAAATGTTCTCACTGTAACCCTGGCTGGATTGGGGACAGGTAAAACACTTTGGTTTGATCGGTGCTTTTTAAAAGCTTTATGGAACATTTGAAATGTTGTGGCAGAGTTGCAATAGTAGAGCCCCTAATAACTTGTGAACACTCACGTTTTCTTTCCATCTTGAAAATAACTTGAGTTTTGGCCTTAACTGCAGCCTTCTCTCTATATTTGGTAGGTGTGAGGTACGTTGTCCCAATGGCACGTATGGCGAGAACTGCGAGAACAACTGCAGCCACTGTTTTAACGGCATCTGTCATGTTGTCACCGGAGAGTGCCTTTGTGACCCAGGCTTTTATGGCCCCTAGTAAGTCATAAGACTTTTCATTCCAAAAAAGCATGTTTATGCCTTTGGCTGATTAACAGTATGTAATAAAAAAAAGTCTTGATAGCTCTCATATTACATTTGCCACACACCAATAAATCTTGGAAACCAAAGGATTTTGCTCACATTTTATGAAATTCAGTGCAGCCTGAGAACTCAACTCTTTTTTTTAAACAAACTCATCACAGACCACAAGGATGAAGACTTTTTAGACACATTTGTTTCCTTTCTTTGTTCCATTTCACACATGTGCCATGGTGCCACCTGCAAAACATTAAACACGTGTTGCCTTTGTCTCCCTTTCCTACTCAAGCTGCAACATGACCTGCCAGCCTGGCCAGTATGGAGTCAACTGCAACCAAACCTGCCCCTGCCATGACAAGAACTGTGATCCTGTGTCTGGTGCCTGCCATCTTCGTAAGAACCCCTTTGAAAAAAGAAATGTCGAACAAAAGCTTGTCCAAACAGCTGAAGGCCGGTGTTAATACGCTCTCAGGACTGCCGAGGAAATTATAGCTCTATATGTTGCAAAAACCAAAATAGATAATGTGTTTGTCAAGCATGACAGCAGTTGTCATTGTGTATTAATTGAATAACAGCTGGCTGTACAAATTAAGTAGCAACAAATACAACTATTCAGGTCAATGTGTCTTGGGAGACTTAGGGGCCCCCGATTTCCAGACCAAAACTGGTGTCCTTTTTATGGCTGTGTTTGTTGGCTCTATTCCTGTCCAGGCAGAGCAGAGGGAAATGAAGGAAGGAAGGAAGAAGAAATGAAAAGGGGGGCATAGAGAAATGGAAAGAAAAAGAAAAACTGAAATGTAGACAGAGACTAGAGGGAAGGAGGGGGTGACTCAGTGGTTTAACAGGAGGCTGTTGGAGACAGGAAGGAGCATATCAGCTAAGAGCACACGATGACAGCTGGGATGTTGGCCAGTAGACATAATAAATGGTAGCAGGTTGGTCAGTGATATCACAGGACCTTGTCACTCTTTCACCCCCCCACCCCAACTTTTTTTCCCAAAATGCCACACCCAGACCACTCAGCAATATTTATGACAGTTACCCCTAACCAAAACAAATTCTCCATGTTTTTAATTCTCATCCATCCTGGCAAGAACTACGTACTGTCCATGGTTATGCAACACAGTATTTTATTACATTTGGGGTGTATCCCACTTGGAAATGGGAGGAGTGTTAATAAATCAAGGACTTGTGATGGGCATTTGGTAAAAAGGGGCTGAGAGGAGGAAGCTTATTACAGGAAATCTGCAATAATAGAAAAAGTGGTTTTATGTCTTTTTGGAAAATTGATGTAACAAATCTGTCTATTTTTTATGAAAGGCATCGACATGAAACGGCTCGTTTTGACTTGATTCCCCACATTCTGTTCATCTGAATGCAGTTTTATTTGCAAGTCATAAAAATGTACTAATTGCTAGTTTTTAGAGTAAAGGCCAAAAGGAGAACTTTAAAAAAAAACTGGCATTCTCTGTGCGCATGTGGCACACCCAGTATTCGCTGCATTTTATCTTTCAGAGCCCAACCAGCGGATGGGTGTGATCGCAGCTGGTTCTTTGGTCTCCTTTTTACTGATTGTCCTTCTTACACTGCTGTGCTGCTGCTGCCTCTGTCAACTAAAAGACGGCCACAAGTGAGTGAAAATACACATTTATAGTTGTAACATTAGACTTTATTTGATAAAAATTTATTTAAACTGTAAAATAAAGACTGTAAAAATACTGTAGGCTGTTTAGTTTTGTAAATTTTTAAAAAGAGATTTTACCACGGACGGAGCCTTTTTATTTACACACAAAGCATTCTGGGTGAATGATGACGTGAATAGGTCCTCGGTGGGAGCGAGCTATATCCACCCTGAAGGTTAATCTTGGACAATATCTGACGATCGACTCTTTTAAATGAAACCAGAGAGCGTTGACAGAGAGGCGAAGGTAGAAATGACTCAGACTGTAACTGAAAATATGGATGGAGGACAACAGAGCTGCTTCATGGAAGAAGAACCTCAGCTTAGCCTGTTAGCCTTTGTGCTAGCACCAACTCTGTATTGCCTTATATGTATTAGCTCGACACTAGCCCGACAAACAAGCTAAACTGAGGTCCTCCATCCATATTTTCAGTTGAAGCTGAGTCATTTTTGCGTTCCCCTCTCTGTCATGTGGATGGAGGACCTCAGTGATGACAGGAGAATGTGTAGCGCTGAGCTAATACATATATATGGTGATAGCGTCGGGGCTAATGCTAAAGCTAACAGGCTAGGCTGAGGTTCTTCTTCCATGAAGCAGCTCTGTTGTCCTCCATCCATATTTTCAGTTCCAGGCTGAGTCATTTCTACCTTCTCCTCTCTGTCAACGCTCTCTGGTTTCATTTAAAAGAGTCGATCATCAGATATTGTCCATGATTAACCTTCAGGGTGGATATAGCTCGCTAGCAGCCTCGCACCAATGACCTATCCACATCATCATTGACCCAGAATGCTTTGCGTGTAAATAAAATGGCCCTGTCCGTGTAATGTATTTTTAAACTTTTAATTTAAAAATTATAAAGACTAAACAACCTACAATATTTTTACAGTCTTTATTTTAAAGTTAAAATAAATGTTTATCAAATAAAGTCAAATGTTACAACTAATCGTGGATCCCTTTAAAAAAAAAACATTGAATGAATAAATGGTTATAGTCTTAGCATTTGTTTTGCAAACTGTGTGGTTAGGATTCGAACAGAACGCGAGCCCACTTTTGTGGGCTCAGAAAGGAGGCAGACAGCCAGGTTTCAAATGATTCATTTTGGATTTCCATGCCATCATCCCCTTTTCAGCGCAAACCAAGACAACTCGACCAACAACAAAAAAGCCAAGCGGATTTTGTGCGGACGATTCAGCAGAATCAGCACCAAACTTCCCCGTATTCCACTGAGGCGACAGAAACTGCCCAAAGTAGTAGGTAAGCCCCGAAACGTCTCTCACGTCTCACCACATCACTGCCAGAAGCTGTATTTTACATTTTATGTGATATTGCAACGTCGAAGTTGAGTCATTTGTAGCTTTAGAAACATTGGAATGTTTCCAGCGTCGCACAAAGACAATGGAAGCAGTAAATGACAATGTGAACATTTTCCTTTGGTGCTGCAGTCGTCTGCTGTGTAGATGATGAATAGGGTTGAAAAGGGTATGGTGGCTGCCGGGCGAGGACAGGGTTTCATTTGAAAGGAATGCGCTGGTTTTAGACCCCCTTATTATTCTTGGCACTATCGAATGCCATGTGTTCATATTATTACAACCCTAAACGTTTCTTCTCGTTTTCTTTCCCTTTTTCCATCATTCTACTCCCGTCATTTTTTTTTTCTGCTCAGAAGGAGGTTGTGTTATTAAATGATGGCAAGTGGTTGTTGGGGGGCCCCATCTGGTGAGTGACGCTCTATCAAAGGCTGCACTGTTTGGGGAAACGCTGCCGCTCCATGCGGAGGTCTCGTGGCCCGTGTGACAGATCTGTCTGCAACCACAGTCTCTTTTTATTGGAGACAAAAAAATGATAGGCTGGTCTTTAAAACCCCCACTGCAACAGTTTGTTTATTTCATTTGCTCATAATTCAGTAATACGTTTAGAGACTTTCACAACTGAATGTTCTTTAAAAGATGGACTTTTACATTAGCAGATCTTCTTTAACCAAAATTATAACCGTAAACTGCTGATGAAATGCATATCAAAAAGAAGAATAGCCATTTATTTTCTTTTTTCTTACATTAAAGTATACTTATTGGAGGGAAGTTTTGATTTGCTAAATACAATACAGATTTGTCAAGAATTTTGTTGATTGTTCTGCTGACAAAAAAAGTTAAAAACTAAGCAACAAAACCATCAAACATTTATTTTAAATGCTTCTCAAAGACAAAGATTTATCAATTGCGTCACACAACCTCAAGCATCTTTACGCTAGAAAAATTTCAATCCTTTCTAACGTTTTAAAAGCCCAAAGATTTATTGACTATCCAGTGACATGGAGCCAACTAGCATTTTCTTTTTGCTTGAGCGCTGCAAAGAATAATGCGTGTGAACATTTACAAAAGAAGAACACTGCAATTTTTATTGTGGAAATGTTTTTGAGCTTTAGTACTTTGTTTCGTTTGATGACTCCAAGTGCTTTTGTCTGTTTTCAACCTGATTATTTGAGCTGGACTTTGCTGAAGTTACATGTGTTTGGACATTTCTTGGATATAGTTTTTAGTCTTGAAGAAAATACTAATGATTTGTTAGAGTGTTTACCAAAGACAAGGAAGGGAAATATGAGTTCAGTCTGCAAATAGAGCAAAATATGTATTTTCTTTGTTTTATGCAACCGGACTATTTGTCAAACCTAAATTTACCTCACTTCAAGTGGTCAGTCTGCTCCCGTCTTTCTCATTCAGAGTTTTGCACCTATGTTTTCTGCTGCTGCCCACAGAAGCGTGATCTGGCAGTAGCCAGAAACTAACTCTGTCAGGAGCTCGACAGTCCTGAACACATGCATTCCTGAGGGGCCCAATGGGGCTGGAAACAGGAAGTGGTCAAATTTACTTCAGCTCGTGTCAGAGCTGTGATTTATTCACACCAGGGTCAGTGTCAATAAATGTGGCAAAACAAAACTGAGGGATGAAAATGGGTCAGCAGGACGTAAAGCTTACTCCTGTTCATTCCAGAGACAAAACCGCCGTCATCTTTTCCCCACATGGCCGAACGAAGGCTGTTTGCTTGAAAGTTTACCATTCCGGTTTAAGTGTATTTACTCCACGCCCCACGTATTCATGGCTGTCCGGCATTCCTTGCATCCTCTGTGTCTAAATGCTTCCTTGTGAATCGGTGCTACGAGCAACACCATCTGTTTTTTCATCTTTATTTATCCAAGAAAAGCTGGCTCGAGTTTGCAAATGCTTTTTTTTCTCAGCAGCATTCAAAGCGAAGTTGTGCGCCATGTAATGAAGTGGAAGAAAACGTTCTCACGCTCTAAAGTCAAAACGTGACGGTATCCTTTTAGATCAGCACATTAAGTTTTAATAGTCTAATATTTTAATAGTGAGAACATAATAAGGATTTGTTCTTGATCTCCAGGCTGTGTTGGATGTCACTCAGTGTAATTAGTTATACACTCTGCATATAACATAGTTATTCCTGCACAACTGACGAATTTAACTAGTTTTTTAAGCTCGATCTGTTATCTGTAGGGGTTTTCCTGGTGCACTTTACCACTCAGGCTCTTGGCTCCTTCAGCCCCACAGAGCAACTGTGGTGTTGGCGCTTTGCAGCTGTGACCAGTCAATAATGCCCTGTTGTGTGCAGGCTTTCTCACAGGGAGGGATCACAGTGGCGTCGAGTCTGCAGCGCAATCTGCCCCGTTAAACCCACAGACTGGAGGAAGTAGCTCTCAAGGGCAGTTGTTCCTCCACACCGCATACATGTAATGTTTCAGAAAGACCCGTGTTTTGTTTTTTCTTTTACTTGCATGACTGATAATTTTGCGTAGGTTAGTTATTCCATAAAGTCTTTCTGCTTATCTGCTGCTGAGTGAAGCCCCCACACAGGCATAGAAACATAAACAGAGCACATGCTGTCATATTCATTAACGCAGGGGTGCCCAAACATTTTCCCTGAGAGGGCCAAAATGAAAATCAATCTGAGGGTGGTGGGCCAAATGCAATAATACAATACACAAAATGCAAATACTTCAAATAAAGTTGTATTTTTTATGATTAAGCTAGCAGCCAGTGCGGTTGCACACATTTTCTTGTTTGTTTGTTTGTTTTTTCAGCCCATGGACATGGATAAAATTCAATGTTTGTTCGGGCAGCAAAGGCTCATGGGACTTTTCATAATTTAAAATTTGAGTATACTGTATGTGGTCTTATAAGGTGTGCAAATCTAGATATGGACTTAAGTCTAATATAAATGTCTCGAAGTTACTTGTATTTTAAGTTTAATCTTCACATAATTCAAAGATAAATTGACCACCATGAGAAGACTATCTGACTACAGCTCCTTGTACCTATAGTTGGACCAATGTTTGAAAAGATTAAGTGCAAATGTAGTATTTCTACATACGACAGGAGAATACAATCTAGTAACCAGAATAACCGCTGGTGGGCCAAATCAAATGGCTTGGCTGGCCAAATTTGGCCCGCGGGCTCCACTTTGGGCACCTCGTTGAACGTCTTTTCAAATGAACTACTCTGTCCTCTTTTGTGTTTCCAGTCTATGCAAACACTTCAGAATCAAGTTTACAACTCATGCTTATAAATTCTTTTTTCTTTGATAGAATATAAATATTTAATACCGTTTACTGTATTTGTATCAGACAAGGCCTTTATTAAATTGTTTAGATTTGTACAGTTAAGTTAAAGGGATGGGACATTTTTTAAGTGGGGCTCTATAGAGCTCTAATCTGCAGTCAGTAACTTACCTGCAGTGGAAATCAAGCTGATCTCAGAGAAGTTCTCAGGAGTAAATTTAATCAAACAAGCCCCAGGCCATGTTCAGACCAGATTACAGCCATTTAAAGCAAACCACAAAAATGTCACAGTTGTTTCAAGCAGTTGCCATTATCCTGGCCAGCCATGCTTCACACATTTTACTCTGTGCACATATTTCACCTGGAATGTTACAGTAACAAACCACGAACCAACGTGGTCTTCAGTGTAAATAACCACATACGTTTATGGCCGTCTGATGCAAAATGGATGGTTGTGTAAAAGTTTATAAAACAGCATTTGAATAAAGCATTGTCGAATTTTTGAGGTTTGAGTTGTTTTAAATGCCAAAATTCCCCAGCGGGATAGACCTTAGTGTGACTAGCTGTTAGTTTGACTCTTTAAGAAAACTTTCTCTCTGATTCACCAAACTGACATCACTCTGATGACTTTCTATTGTAGGGAACAGGAGGCTAAAAATAAGTCCTCAGAACCCCACTCTGTACTATTCTTTTAATAAAGTTCTCCTGAGAAGTGGAATGAGGCTGGAAAGTCACCACTTGAATTGCACTTTTTTCATTGATCACAGTTTGTAGAAGTTGCATGCGTAGCAAATATCAGCTATAGATTGTAAAAAAATTTTTAAAAAACACAAAGTTATTTGTTTATGCCAAACAACAACTAACGAGCTAGAATTCTAGACTGGTTTGTACCACAGTCTTTCAGATCCTTCAAGATAGAGTTTATCTGAAGGTTAAACAAATGAAGGGAACTTTGTGTCATCGGGCATGTAAACAAGAGCGTCTAATGTGGTTGCTCGTGTCAAAGTTACTGGCTAGTGCAGCATTGATCTAAACTGCACTGTTCACACCAGATGGAAAGATAAACCCCAAGTATCCCCCAGAAACCACAGCTGTCCTGAGAATGAAGGGTCAGCAGAAAGCTCCAGTGTCAGATGGGGGCAGGGAGGGAAGAAAAGAGGAAGACGCTGAGAGAGGAAGAAAATTTGACCTACATATAGTAAAAGAAAATGGTTTCAAGAATGGCTCATGTAACTGGACACTAAAATGTTAGAAAAGACCAAAAAAAAAAAAGAAGGAATAATGCTCATAGTTCTATTTCAAATAGAATATTTTGTTTTCATTTGTTCAGTTTTTACAGACACAAGCTTTTCTCTTTGTTTTTTCTATTTGTTCTGCACCCACTTCAGATTTTGTCATCCATGAAATGGAGGTTATTAGGCGTTATCAGTCCCCTAGAATGGCTTCAGAATGTCCCGCCTGTGCCGGTTAGCAGGCTCCCCGTCCCATAGAATGGCTTCCGATTGTCAGCTGGTTAGTATGAGGCATAAAGCCACTATCTGGTTAACATGAGGCATAAAATATCTGGTTAATATGAGCCTTAAAGCCACGAAGGTTAACCTTAGAGCAGATGACCTGGTTAGCACTAACCTCCGACAATTGCACATTGTGGCCTCTCAATAGAGTAATGGGTACAGTATCAGACCAGAGAGCAGCAGACCAGGGTATGAGTCTGACACGGACACAAAAAATTTATTACAATATGTTTTGGTTATTTACACATTCATTGTCATTAATGTATTAACCCACTAGGGGGTACTGTCGGGACAGTCTGAAGCCTAGAAGGCACAGTAGGGACCCTCTGAAGCCATTGTGTGGGACTGATAATGCCTAATAACGTCCATTTCATGGACTGATAACATCAGAATCCCCTGAGTTCTGAGAAGTTATTACTTTCATTAAATTTCTTGGGTATGATCTTCTAATCATCAAAGTCATACTTGATATGATGTTTGAATTTCTTGAATTTCTTTCTGCTTGGAACAAAAAAAATTTTGTTGAAAATGTTTACTTTTTCCAGGAATTTTAACATTAAAACCAACTTTTTCAATAAGTCTACTCAAAGTCTGAGTAAAAACAGACTCTTGATTTTGTAGCATGCAGCAAAACCCTCTAAATTGCATTTTGGCTTCTGTGTTTGTTCTCTGTCTTTAGTAGCACACCACGACCCGGAGAACACCTTCAACTGCAGCTTCATCGAGCCCCCGTCTGTGGCGGAGCAGCCGTCCCCCTCCTCCTGGTCATCCCAGGAGTCCTTCTCTTCCTTTGAGAGCGGAGACGAGGGGCCAGTTTACTGTGTCCCACATGAAGGTTAGTCATCACACAAGTAAATAAACAGTTGGTTATCTGCAATGACCCACCTAAATTCTTCGTTTGTAATTGGCGTAGATGGCCTTACAACGCACGCACACACGATTTCTTTAAAACACACACGCAGTGTGTTTTAAAGAAGTCAAGTTCTGTTGTGAGACCGTGCAGTGACTCATGCTTTTCTGTAAATCACATTATGGAGATAGTTGACTTTTAATCATATGCCATCTAGGTCCAGATTTGACTTTGAGAACACGCCAACTTTAAACAGGAAATGGAACGGTCTACTCAGCATATGCCACAAATTCATGCAATGACCTAACTCCTACAAGATTGATGAAAAACACCCGTTCCACTTTCTATTTTAGACGTATGACATTATGAATCAGTCTTTAATAATGGGGAATTTTTTGAGTTTCTTTAAGTAATGGTGATATAAGAAAGCATGCCGTTACTTTGCAGCCGAAGTAGCCTGGTAAAAACCAGCCCATTGTTCTTAGCTTTGCTTACAGAGGGTCTGGAGTCTTGGCAATTGAGAAATGATTTTTTGCTGGAGGCGTGACCGCTGTTGAATTTTAAAATGATCGGATCTGATTTTATCAAATCGCTAAAGTTTGGCCGTGGCATACGTATGTAGTGCGCCAGCTTGACCGTGAAGGGCACTAAGCTAAGAAGCTAACCGGAAGTTGCGTGCTCTGTAAACAACCATCCCCTGCTGAGAGAAGAGAAGTACCGAGCTGAATGAGACAACTGTAAATGTGTGCTGCAGGCTTTGTGAGACAAATTTAATTTCATCTGGAAGCCTTATCAACATGAACTGGCTTCATTCACTTCCTCTGCTGCCATCGTTAAACCACAGGCAGACTAAAACAGAAAATTGTTGTTGTCTTTCACAACTCCTCCTTCTCTTCACTGATTGGCCCGGTTGAAATTCTGCTGGAGAAATCCTTATCTGTGGGAGAAAGCCCAGACGGAGCAGAGAAAGAAACTAGAACTGAGCAGAACTGTATAGGAAGGCAAGGGCCGGGCTACAGCCAAAACACAAACAGGAGACAAATTCAAATTTTAGACTTGAACATGTATTTGCAGAATATGTAGTCATACACAACTGTCACCATTGACCAAAACTCAGATGACTAAATAAAGGTCTGTTTTGGTCCAGCTGAAGGTTGTTTATTACTATATATTCTGCAAATAAATATTCAAGTCTAAAATCTAAATGTGTCTCCTGTTCATTTATATTGTAATACTTGGAAAAAAATATAGAAACAGTGGCTTCTGAATAGAAGACAAACATTATCAAAGTATTTTTCCAGTGTTGTATAAAGTACCACAAAGAGATACCTGAGTAAAAGTACAAGTATCTTACCAAAAAATTACTTTGGTAAAAGTTAGTCTCCTTTAGGAATATTACTTGAGTAAAAGTCTTAAGTATCTGATATTTTTTGTACTTAAGTATTAAAAGTAAAAGTATTGATTTAAAATGAGGAGTTAGATTTTCTGTAAGGTGACCTCCCCAAAAAAGTACAGAAATGACTATATTGTATTAAAATGATTAATTGATGTTAAATTTAGGATGCACTAGTCCAGCTGTTTCAGTTTATATACATATATCAAGGCTGCACAAACCTTTTCCCCAAAATGAAAATCTATCTGAGGGCTGCGGCCAAATACACTAATATAGTTCATGAAATACAAATACTTCTTAAGTACAGTCCTTTTATTTTAATGATTATGTCCTGCTGGAGAGTGACATGATTTGTTTGTGTACAAACTAATACGGAATCACAATTTTATATATTTATACTTTTCATTCAACCACAATTAAATTCACTCCATCTACGAGGCACAATTTATATGGATAGTATTTATTTTTACGATAACAAGCTGAATGAAAACAATCAGAATTGAAATTAAAGTAACGACTTTCTACTTCTTGTCTTTTTTTAATGTAAGGAGCAGAAAGTACAGATAACTGTGTGAAAATGTAAGAAGTAGAAGTAAAAAGTAGGCTGAAAAATAATTACCAAAGTAAAGTGCAGATACCCAAAAATCCTATTTAAGTACAGTAACAAGGTATTAGTACTTAGTTACTTTACAACTCTGTATTTTTCAATGTGTTTTATGGACATAGTTTTCTGCTTTACTCAAATGTAACTCAATTCAGAAAATAAAATGGCAAAGAAAGTAACGTTTAAGTTTAAGTATTATCTACTGAAGAAACAGTAACAGGCTACTATTGGCATTGGTTGTAATGTTCATAAATAATTATTGACTAAGTACTGCTTGACAATCGATTGAAATGATAGCATCCTTTTTTTGTTCTGCTGCCAATGATCAACAGAAACTGTGAGTGAGAGCAAAGAGAAGCAGACCCTCGGCCCTGCTGCAGAGGAAGGAGATGAACTCAACGAGGAGGATGCAGGGGAGTACACCTCTCTTAAAGACACAGGCATCAAACCGGAAAGCGGTGAGCAGTCTTTACTCAAGTCCTCCGACAGCGAGGCTTCTAACAGTGGCTCGGAGTCTGCAGCCCACTACGCCTGCATCTCCCGCCTCTCCAAACAATCCAAGGACGAAGATGGCAAAGGTCATGATGGCACCCCTACACCAGAAGCCAAGCGCAGTGGGAAACCACCTGCTTCACCTGGCAAGCCAAAACCACGCCCACCAGATCCGTCTACTAAGCCCAAAGTGTCATGGATACATGGAAATACAACAGGCCCTTCACAGCCGGAGCAACAAGCGGGGATTAAGGTACTTACAGTACCAAAAGAGAAAAAAAGAAGCTCCAGTGATGGCTCAGCCAAGAGTGAGGAGAGGCAGAAAATGAAGGAAAAGAGTCGAGACCAGCAGAAGGAGGACGAGGGCAAGGAGGCAAACGGCTCCCCCAGCAGACACAATCCCCTGCGAGGTAAAAGATCTGGGGATGAGCACAGCAGTCCAAATCACATGGTGCACATCAACGGTGTTGTTCAAAACGCCTTAAAGAAGATAAGTAACTTCCGCTGCTCCTCACCTGAAAAGAAGGCTACCGAAAACCCAAAGCAGACCCCCAAGGAGCCTCCAAAGAGCCCAAAGGTGATCCATCCTCATATGAACTCTGAAGCAGCCACTCTGCTCGCTGCTCAGCTCAAGGAAAAAACTCAAAGCATCAACAGGAACGAGGGAACAGGACTGACAAAAACCAACGGGTTCTCTTTACCCAAGGGCAACCAGGAGAAGCCCACTCCTCCACAGAAAGCCAAAAGGACCATCTCCAGTGGACTCAGCCAGAAGGGCTCTGCCAAGCCCCTGCTGCCCACTTCAAGCAGCCTCCAGAAGATGGTGGCACCCGTCAGCAACGACTTTCAGACCTCTGACGTCAAGAGCCCGGAGAAGCAGGACTTGAACGGCTCTAAGACGGGGGACCTGTTGGATTCTACACCAAAGAAGACGCCTATAAAAAAGCCACCAAGGAAAAAAGGCAAAGGGGGTTTACTGGATACCCCTGAAAGTAAACCCTCCCAGCCAAAGACAGCCATTATGCCACCCCAGGTTGTGAAGTAAGTGTTTTAAATAATAATAATTAAAAAAACGAACAAAGTTTGTGAAGATTTTTCCAAAAGACTGATTTTTTTAAGATGGTAGCAACCGCATAGTTTTTTAAAGAACAATGTGTGCTGTGACTGAAAGACAATTCAAGGTTAGAACATTTTTTAAAACCAAGGGTGTAATTGCATCATAGTGGGGAGGTGTATTATATTAACATTTATGCATCGTTGTATTAAACTTCAAGGAATGTGTTTTGTAACCAGTATGTATCGCTTTCACCTCACAACCTTTGACTATGACCAACACAACTGAGTAAATAGTGAGGCATAGGCATTTTACAAAGTACATTCATCTGTATGCAATCCTTATATACACTAATAAGCAATTTACAAAGCAAGTACGCAGTTTTTAAAAAATAGTATTTTCTATATATTCCTTCCACAGGTACAAACAACTAATGGTTGCTTTTATGATCACAAGCTATTCTTTTATTTGTTCTTTCTAACATAACATCAAAGACTGTTCTGGAAATAATCCTCACTCGCTCACTGCACATTAATATTTACTTTCTCAAGGATAAAATGTCTAACGTTTCTGTCAGATTGATAAGCTTTCATTATTATCAAAAATATTTACAATATCTTTCACTCCCAAAATCATTTACAATAATATTCTGGGATAAAATAATAATGCTATTTATAATAATAAAAATGCTCCAAACATTGATAAATAAAGCCACACAAGGCCTTCTCTTTAAAACGTACAAAGTATCTATCATTTGCACTAGTTCACACTCTTCTTACTCAGTTATATGTTTTGTTCAATTACAGAACTCTGGTTTTCTCCTTTTGCCAACACTATGTCACCACAATACAGCCTTTTTGCAAGTTTTCCAAGAGCTACACCAGATTTTTCCAATCAAAGGGCTATAACTAGGTACACAATCAGCTAACATGAAGTATTTTTAGTCTTTTTTTCTTTTCTTTTTTTAAATGGTGGCACACTGCCGGGTGGGTGTCAGTTCATTCAGTTTGGCTGAATTCTTGTTTCATAAAAAAAATGCTATTTTTTTTCTGTTGAAGACAATTAATCAATATTTTTTTCTTTTTTTTAATCTATAGCAAGGCACACATACTGCATTGGTGTATTTGTCAGAAATGTTTAATTTGTAGCCTGTGCTCATCTGTAAAGAGTTAGGCTGCAAGAAGTTGAACAAGAGCATTTCAGGTGCAAACCAGCTTTTTAAATCCACCCATGCACCAAATCACTAAGCTAAACTAAAAAAAAATGAAATAAAATAAATGACATCACCATATGCCATGCGTTTAATACCGTTTAATTCCTTTTTTTTCTTCAACTGGTGATAATCTGCAATTTTCCATAAATCCTTTTCTGTTATCAGTTGTTATTTTTAGCTGATCGTTTGCCAGAAGCACTCTGTCATGTGTTTCTGTGCTCCGTTTAGAAATTAGGTCAACTTTAAGTGATCTTGGTTTGACATGAATCTCAGCAGGATAACGTGTGGAAATGTTCGGCTCCTCAAGGATTGTCTAAAGCTAGCTGATTTATGCTAAAAGAAGGAAAAAATAGGGTTTAATTTTCTTGCTTTGGGTCAAAACTGAGATTAATGGTACGTTGTCTTGTGGAAAAAAAAGTGCCTGAACTGTAAATTAGTTAAAGGAAAAAGATAAGTTGCCAATGTTTTAAGTGCTTATTCTAAAATCAAAATAAAGTAGTGGGGTCAGTATGTACAACTGGAGTAATTAAGCTTGTCAAGGAGAAAAAACTATATAGTATGATTGATGGCTATGTTGAAAAGTGCCTTTCATAAGAGCTATAAACTTTGTGTAAATAAAGCAAAAAGTTTTGTTAACCTGCCATTGACGTGTTTTCAGCTCCAGAATGTCACATTTATGGAATGACTTTGTCATCAAGGTACAAAACATTTTTATAGCTATTTTTGTTTTGTTTTTTCACTTTTTTACTTGTATACATTGTGTACTTTTTCTTATCTTTGTAAGCTGTGCTTATATGACCTTTCAGGTTCTGTGTTTTTTTTTTGTCCCAGTGAAATTACTTTTTTATCGTTTCTGCTTATTTTTTGTTGTTTTTCCTGTGTTGCTTATTTTGGGCTCAGAAGCACGTCTGCAGTATGAGTACTTCCCTTCTGTAAAGTTTACATTGGCTTTGTAATTGTTCTCTGTTGATGTTATTGTTTGTGTAACACTTAACTGCATGACGCAGAGTGTAATTATATGGCATTATAGCTGCAGAGGACATCTGTAACCTTCTTGATCCTTTCATTTGTAATTGCCTCTGATAAAACCATACTAAAAGGATTGTACAAAACTACCGTAATACCACTTTTTGTTGCAAATACTTAAAACCATATTGTTCAATTATAAAGTTACACGTTTGTCTAACTGGCCACTGCCTGTTTAGTGCCTTTTTTCAAAAAATATGGGCCTGAAATTTACAAAACTATCACTAACTGTAAGGAAAATGTTTGTGTTTTGTGTATGTTCATGGTGAATTGATTGCCTATAATGTACAGCGGTTAGACAATGAAACTGAAACACCTGGTTTTAGACCATAACATCCCTTACAGACAGCTTCCTCTTGCATCCACAGTTAATCCTGTTGGATGTGGTTGGTCCTTCTTGGTGGTATGCTGACATGACCCTGGATACTGTGGCTCTTGATCCATCACAAAGACTTGCTGTCTTGGTCACAGATGCTCCAGCAAGACGTGCACCAACAATTTGTCCTCTTTTGAACTCTGGTATGTCACCCATAATGTTGTGTGCATTGCAATATTTTGAGCAAAACTGTGCTCTTACCCTGCTAATTGAACCTTCACTCTGCTCTTAATGGTGCAATGTGCAATTAATGAAGATTGGCCACCAGGCTGGTCCAATTTAGCCATGACCACACTAAAATGGCAGGTGTTTCAGTTTCTTTGTCTAACCCCTGTATTTTGTTTATAAATAAGACAAAAACACAAAAGCATAGTCATAATTTCATAATAATTCCACATCACGGCTCAAATACTCTAATTTGTTCCCTTAAATGGGGTCACGACCTCTTTCGGACTGTTTTTATGAGTCGGATTTCTCTGTCAACAAAACATAAAACCATACAGATTATTGCAGAACATAAATTTGTTGAAATCACTACAAAAGATTCCAACAATGCTGACTGATATTTGACCCTTTCAACTTGCTGTTCCGGACTCGGACAGCCGAGTCTCAGGGTTTGTAGTGGGAGCCCAGAGGCGTTCAGTCACAGCGGCTCTTCAAAGAGCCTGGAGGAAGGCAGGAGGTTGTTGATTGGCTCCTTCAGGATGAGAGACAACAGCTCTTTTCATGGGTGTGAAACAGTGGAAACTTTGTGCGACGAGCCGAGTCACGCGCTTCAAATGTGTCGTCTTTAGTGGGGGGATAGAGGAAGGGAAAACTGGATCAGTCAATGGATCATGAGGTAGTTATTTTAAAACATAGGTTGAAGTGACTTTGTTTTGGGTTTTACATGTACCTCCTAACTCTATGTGGATTTACATGAAGGCAAAATTGACTTGTCTTTGGTTCAGAAATTTATGATTCTTAAACTCCGAACAGTGATGGAGTTCTTGATATTGTAATTTCGGTACAATAAGTCTCCCCTTATAGATGGCTTGTAAATAGTTTATAGATAGGTTATTAACTCATCTATAACGACTTTATAAATCATTTAAAAGTGTTTATTATGCATTAATTAAGAATAAGAAAGAGACAAAACTGTCTGGTTTCTTGCTAAATAGTGAGCCAAATCTGTTCATGTACATATTTTAAAGTGTAATATTAAACATTTCACACTAGGTTAACTTGTAAGCACAATAATGTATTGAAAATGCATGTTTACAGTAGGTACACTGTTTATTAATGATTAATAAATGTGTATAAATGCCAATAAGGTTCCCTTTGATAGTTGTGTTTATGTATAACACAGTGCAAAATTATGTCTAAAATATGTGTTTCCAATACATTATTGTGTTTCCAAGGTAGGAACCTAGTGTGAAATGTTTAATGTTAATGTTAAATTAGATGTAATATGAATGTGAACAGATTCGGCTCACTATTTGACCAAAAACCGGATAGTTTTGTCTCTTTCTCATCCTTAATTAATGCATAATAAACACTTAATAATGATGTATAAAGTGTTTATAGATAAATTAATAACCTATCTATATAGTATTTATAAGCCATCTATAAGGGGAGCCTTATTGTAAAGCGGTACCGTAATTTCTCCTCCACTTGGGCTAAAGCTCAGGATATACTGCTGCCTGTTAGTGAGATTATGGGATGCCTGAAATGAATCCTGAACATTTGGATTGTAGTCTGGGAAAACAAATAACCCAATAAACGTTCAAGTTATTAGTTTTGACTTTCATAAAAGCTATCCTTGGTGTATTTTTTTGTGTTTGTTTTGTTTTTTTATTCCCACAAGCATTCTTAATAAGTGCCAAACTCAAGTATGAATCTTACCTGCCAAACAGAAAATTTATGCTGATTTGCAGAAACTGGCATGCTGACACAGCAAACCTCAAATGGCAAAGAACTGCTAATCAAGGGCGTAACTTTAGGTCTACCATAGGGGGGTTGTGCTATCTGCCTATTTCTTCATTTATTGAAAGGTTTAGGTTTTTTTTTTTTTTTCATTTTTACCAACAGTAACAAATATTTTACATTTTTATGATGTATTATATATCATACCTAAATTTCTCCATCTTCCAAGAGTATGTGTTGTATTCACCAGGTGCACTATAATTTGGATATAGGAAAAATTACACGATTCAACAAATACAGCCATTATGTGACAAGAGCAAAACCCTGCATGTAATTTTCAATAATTATGTTTAAACGTACATTTATGACATCATAGATTTTGAAATCAGGTCAAAGTTACCTAAAGACAACAAGAGAGTTGCAGCTGTGTAATTAACCAGTTAATTTCAACTGTGTTACAGCAGATGATGTCATTTTATTGGGGGGGGGGGGGAATATATATATATATATATATATATATGGGAGTGTTTGCTTCTATTAGCATCAAGTTTCCCATACAGTTCATACACCATCAAATAACGTGTGAATAGCTTTATTATTCTACACCTTCACTGCATTTACCTGGTCTTTACTCTGAGTTACATTCATTTCAACTCCCTTTATGGCTCGTCAGCAAAAGCTAGAAAATTAGACTAATTGGGGGAAGGGCACTTCCTGTTCTTACCCCAAGTTGTGTGTGTGTGTGTGTGTGTGTGTGTGTGTGTGTGTGTGTGTGTGTGTGTGTGTGTGTGTGTGTGTGTGTGTGTGTGTGACAACATCTTGAAGACAGATTTGTTCCCGGAATGAAGAGGAATGTTGACACAACTGCCTCCATCTGCTCATCCTCGGCTCGCAGACGGAGCAGATTCTCAGCTGAGCGGAGCAGCACATGTTCCTTAGCTTTTCATCCTTAACATGTTGTGGGAAAGCCAACGAGTGAAAATGTTCCTCACATGTCTCCATGTATGCAGAACAGTTCAGGACAACGTTTGTTGCAGTTTAGGAATTTGCATGGTTTTTTTTGACGAATGTTTGCTCCCGACTTGTATTATATACTGTATGGTTTCGAAATGCTTTCTCATCTTCCATCTGCAGTTGGCAAACAGAAAATATTTTTGGTCATTTGATCTAAGTGAGATGAAGGATTAGAGAGGAATAACTCTATGAGATAATGCATGTTTTAAACATAAAGTAAACCATGTAGGAAAACAGGGTTCAGTGACATCTGAACTGGCAGGCGCAAACATCAGCTGAATCTGGGGTGTCCTTAATGTGCCATGTCTGAAGAAACAGCAAGGCTTTAAAACTCAGGACGCATGAGTCAGCCAAAAGCCCTGGACTCACAAAACCTTTTTTTTCTCCCAGTCCCTACATTTCCATAGCAACAGGAACAGATTGGAACCACATCTGGTAGCCATTTCAGTCCCTGCAAGCAGAGGAAGAAAGAAATTTATGAGTGAGGGAGAAAAAGACAAATATTTTCTGCAATGCAAAGCAGAAAGAAAGTGGAGTCGTGTTACACTTGAAAGTGTGACCGTTCGAGTCGAGAGGACGCTCTCGGGAACCGTGCAGGTTTAAGGTGGTTGATTAGAGCTGTAGGAGAAACTTTAGTGGAGGAAGAGAGGTTGCTTCGAAAAAACAAAGAAATAACAACTGATTTAATGTTTTCTGCAACTCATACAAATCCGTGTTGATTGCAATGTTTGTCACCATATGCCTCGGCAAACCTCAGTGTAGATTTAAGGTTTTGCGAATGGAAACATTTTAATTAGACTTCCAACAAAAGTGTTCTGCTGTCTAATGTTTCTGCTGTGCCACACTTTCCTGAGATGCTGTCATTTCGTTGCATCAGTCATGGCCGAAGAAGAGTTTCAAACAAAACAAAGCAAAACAAAAAAAAAGTTTTCATCTCTCTCCCCTGCCGACGCTCTGTCTGCAAGAAACGCTGTCTAATTGCAGTCCTTCTTACACGATAAATGTTGTTTCTCAGCCGCGTGGAAATGCAGAAACTATGAAATGAGATTTACTGGAAATGGAGGTGGCGCTTTTCCCTGAGCCAAAACCACCGAGAACTGTGGTCAGCATGCAAACACAATGATGTGGGGGGAGCAGCGCCAGGATCAGTTGTGTGTTTCTAGGTTTCCAGTGGCAGACACACACCATGGCTTCTCAAACTGGCCTTATAAAACTACATCATGTTGGTAGCGAGTTAAGATAAGGCTGCTTCCTGCTGCACAAATTAAAGCAGCCACACAGCAAGCCGACGATGCGAGGAAGTTGAAGCCAGAGATCAAATTAGACAAATAATTTATCAGAATGATTAATTTATATATATACACACACATATATAT